GGGATCAATGGACTCACAGGCTACATACAGTATGCTCAGCGACATATATGACTAAATAAAATATCTTATTTTTTTAAACAGAAAATTCAGTTTTTGACCGCTATTTTGTCTCCTATTTCGTTGATGAGAAAAACCCAGAACTGAAGCGTGTGGCTTTGAGTGATATAATGATATAATTTAACAGTGATTTTCGTTCATTGTGCAATGGTCCCTAAATAGTAGTATAATTTCTATATAGTTTCATACTGCTTCAAAGTGTTGCGCATGAATATTATTATCAAATTAATGTCGGAAAGAATGGATCAAAGATAATGAGTACTCATTCGCAAGAAGTAATCGTTCCAGCAGCGGCCTAGCATCTCTGTTCATTTGCTGCTCTATAAGATGCAAGAAAGTTCCCTGTAGAAACATCGCCTCGTGGCTCCACCAACTATCATATGCCCGAGATAACTGAAGCTTGTCTGCAAGTGGAATATCCGTTACAGTAAGAGTAAAGTTATTATGTTCTTCTAGCAAGACGTCTTATCTTTACAGACGTATTAAAGTACCTAAAAGGCGTCTATTTTCCTATTCAAAATTGTGCAGCCGTCGAGCCGTGTATTATCAGGTGAATCGTAACAAATTTGAGCGATGAAGCGGCATCTGAACGAGCGCCTCCGAGAGCACGATCCTCTAGATAAGCGCCCACAGTATCCAGCGATGCTAACTCTATATTATATTCATTGCTCGGGTCTGCATCCGATGCTCTTATAAGAGGATGCTTGGGTTACGGCGCGACAGCCATGTGATATGCATTAACAAGTTAGCGAGGGATGAAGTGGACATTTGTGAAGACAGTGGAGCATTATGTGGAGATAGCGATGATTATGAGTTCTTCTTATTACAACTTCTTTCATTAATGTCTCCTATCTATGGCTAGACGCAAAGACACTACGAGTGGTGCAAGGTCTCAGGTTACCGTATGCTTAACTGCCCCTTCCCAATACTAGGCAGAGTTAGATAGCTTCTTAATGGGTCGTGGCAAACTTATAAACATGGACTTGCTGTTTGTTGTTTTATACTTTTTATACTGCTGATTTTTACGGATAATGAATATTTGCATGCAAAAACACATGTAGTTGATGAACTGTAGAATGCACTCAATTTGGAGAAGCATGAAACATTAAAATGATTCTAGGCGCAGCAGACATGCACATTTTTCTATAATTCGCGTTAGTCCGAGAGTATCAAGGAAATCTAAGTAGAAACGTTAAAATTCAGCCGTTTCTTGACGCAGAAGAACGTTGAGAGCGTAATGAAGAGCTTCATTAACTTCTAGCTGCCCAACCCCATGCCGCGAGGTGAAGGCGTTTTCTACAGCACAACTGCAGCGCGGACGTGGTGGATGGTGCGCAGGTTCTTTTCTGATTATGCATGGCTGCACATTTCTGATACTCCAATAGAATTTGTATGAAATTTTCTAATTATCAATGAAAATTTAATGTTGATGAGCTGATACCATGATTACTTAATTTCTCGTGGATTGTGTCTTGGAAATCATAGTGACCAGAGACTTTCAACTATAGTGCAGTGAACCAAGGCAAAATCGGTTAACAGAGCTAGCGCGTCATCTATGAAGAAAGTGATTCGATCTGTACACTTTTCACGCAGAAAAACGCGAAAACTGCCATCAAACTGATGTTTATGTGGTACATCCGTCTTCACTGCAGCATGTGCATTAGATATTCTCACACGAGAAATATTCGTTCTTATTCCAAGTTGCGCCGGCAAGTCGGCAGGGCCGCGCCGCGTGGACTGCATCCATAAAGCCGATGTAATCTGATAATTTCTTCATCCAGCGACTTTACGACGCTACCTTCGCTATGCTCTTCCTTTTTACGCAGCGCAGTACCTGGAGGCCAAAAATGAGAACCAAGCTAGGAACTTTGTGAGCATATACGTGTGTATCGTGGGATACTCGAGGTTCTCTGTAAGGACTGTACGAGTTTTTTTTGTAGATAAGGTTTCAGATTTTATTGAATATGTTTTACAGATCAGAAGTTCCTTTGTGAATAATTATTTATATGCTACCGTGCGTCAATTACTCGATGACAATTCGATTCTGCCGATGCTTTTTGTACTCTGAAATATTGATATTACTGAGAGTTTGACAGTAAGTTTTACCGAGTTACTGTACAGGCTCAATTGACGCTGTTAGAACAAAACTAAAATCATTGTCATAGTTACATATACTAGCTAAAAGTAGATTAAGTGCCAGTATATTCACGGAATCACTCTTTTAACTATTATTTTAACCGAAGAATGTCATCAGTACAACTCAAAAAATTTCCGTTCGAACTTTTGTCAGACGCACGCTCAAGTTACGAATGTATGGTAAAAATCATATATGCAGATTTTGCTGTTTATTGCACGACTGGCGAAAAGTAACGGAAATATTCGATGCTTCTCCACGGAAGTATTTGGCTCTGGTAGTTTGATATTCAGATTCGAGGCTTCATTAAGTTGGATTATATCGGCTTATTACATGACGGGACCTGTCAATATTTGAACACTGAAATCATAGGCACACTTGAGCTACCCTTCATTTCACTGGTACCGCCGCCTCATTCGTTCGAATATTCGAGGAGAAAATGCTGCGCGATTCTCAACTGTAAAAACCTTTTGTTTATAATGTCGTGTTACTAGTAACTATGTCGTGTTTGATATCACAAAACCCTTATAAGAAGTCTTGCCCTAACATCGGAGGAATTGGTTTAAAATTAATAAATATGTAATACTGTTTTGGTCATCATATGTAAAAAAATTATCATCAAATATATAGGTGAAAATAGATGTCTGTCATTATAAACGTTGGTATCAGCACCCTATAATTTAGTATATAATCATGACATTGAATGATTTAAAAGTTTGTTAGTGATAGTTTAAAACATGTGTTTTTGCTAAATTCATTGGATTAAGTCTAGAATTTTTACGATTTCAAGATTATATGCGACGCATTAAACTCACAGGAAATGTTCTCAAGGTCTTAACAATTGCGACATGAATGCGTCCACATTAGAACAGCCGTACCCGAAAACCTGTGTTTCGAGGCTCACCAGAAGAGGGTTCCTCGGTTCTTGCCAGTGTGAGCATAAAGGCTGGACAGCTCGGCTGGCTGGCTGCATGCGTCCTCTCTTCTCTAACAATGGGATCATTTGGTCCGTTGTGGCAGCCAGTGAGTCGAGCCGAATGCAACAAGACCTACCGCATCATCGGATCGTGACTTGAGCAGACCTCTGGGTCGGGGCCATAGATGTGGCTGGAGTCAATTCTGGGGCCATTAGTGTCTTATCGTAGTAAGATCTTGCCATGATACACAGCGATCTGGTAACTCGATGATGCTTGTGGTAATGTCAACCAGCGACATCACGAAGAGACTTCCACAAGAAATAAAACTGGTTTAGCAAAATGAACTTCTAAAGACGAGGTTAACCTTTTGCATGTCTGTGAGGTGAAAGTCCGTGAATTTGGAGGAAGAGAAGTTGCAATAATTTTTCTGATTGGTATGCGAGGTTAAACGCACACCCTGAAAACAGTAATCATCCTATGACGTTCCTGTTAATTGCGATTGTACCTAATATGAATTGTACTCCGACTACTTCTTAATTAAGGCAGGTCAATGCCTAGCTGGCAAGCTCTCGCAAGCGACCATGCAGGGCACTATGGTTCCACAGTTTGAAACAGTCTCACACACATGGCATATGCAAGCGCGAGTGCAGAAAGCGCCTCTGTGCCAGACTTGTGTTGACGATGCTTTGGATTGGAACAAATTACGCAATGGCATAGGAGAGTTGAGAAAGGTACGCGCAATATCCTATGTTACTATGAGTTATTCAATATTGTCTGGTCTCATTTTGGACATGAATTGAGTCCTCTATTTTATTTTACAACACACACATCTTAGTTTGAACACAGTAATGAAGACAATTATCTGTAAATTACTGTAGTTTAAGTTTGAAGGGCCTTGTGTAGCGATACAAGATTGAACATAGCGATAAACATTGAATGGATAATTTGAGATTGAATCTAAAAGGCAGCATTAAATGAATAATTTGGCCTACCTGCTTGACATAGTTTTGCAAGATAATTGTAATCCTCAAATTTGATGGGGCAGCTGTTTGTTATGACTTAAATAATACAATGCTACGGGAAAACAATGAGCTCTAAGGATGCGCACAAGTAATGCCTCCCTAGCTGTCGTGAATCCTACAGCGAATCGAGCTTCAGAGGTATTAAATATCCCCGTTAACCATGAAATGAAAATTCAAAGTTGCGGTGATAATTAAATAGGCAATCACGGCAATTATTCCAAGTATCCAGAGCGTGTAGTTGCCGAGCTCCTCCCATGCCACGAGGGAGCCAAAGAGTTCCTCCTCCTGTGGGCAGCCAGAGGAACTTGCTTCCAGAATCAGAAGTCTTCCAGTGAGGCGCTGGCGGTCGGCGTGTGAGGTGTCGCTTGACGAGCTTATGCCGAGATCAGGAGCGGTGCTGCTAATCTTCTGCAGTACGTGTGGCTACGATTGCAATTCGGATGGTTCTCAATGTGGAGCAAAATCTGAGAACTGTTATTTACCTATTGACAATATAGACTAATTCTTTAACTTTTCTTTTAATATTCGCATCGATATGAAATCCAACCGGCAAAAGATACGACCAACAGTTGTTTCCTCTTTCTCAGATTCTAGATTTCTTAGACCAGAAATTACTTCCGACGCAGCGTAAATTTGACTTCTCCGACTGTGTTTTCGACGTGGAACTTTGAGCGTAGACCCCTCCCTGAGGCATGGAAACTTGAAGATTCTTGCTGAAAAAATGTGTGTGGACTTTCCTTTGGAAGTGATGAGACATGTGACCATTTGTAATGATCTCTTCTATTATTTTAGTTTACTCACCTTATGAAGATTGGAACGGAAAAGTCAATTACGTACATGAAAATTTTCAAATTTTCGTCAACTGTTTGAATTTAATTATTTGGATTGTTGCCCCAAATAATTGATGATTGCTATCCTAATTTTTTTTAATTTTCTGCAACAGCCTTCTGGGGTTCTTTAAAAACATAAATAAATATTGATTGTTCGCACGAGCACCGGCAGAACACATGAGCATCCCAATTAATGACGAGCGAGGGCGTGCTGCCCCGTTTCCGCGGATCTGATTTACGTGAGAAAGAATTCCGGTGCCAATTTCTCCTTCACTAGCTGGTCAACAATGCCGAGAAAAAGTTAACATGGCCCATAAAACAGATATCTAATGAGGTGAAAACCTGCTAAGTGGTGTGAATTTCTAGCTACAGACGGTCTTCATTATGACCGCATGACAAGTTTGAATGGTCAAGTTCTTCGTACTCGTGTTGCAAGTTTTTAAAATATAAATAGTCAAAGATGTTGCTCAAGGATGAAGTACTTGAGAAAGAACACCTTGTTATGAATTGATCGCGCATGTTTGTGCGCATTAAAACTTGAGTGTTTGGTCATCTGATCAATGGTTCCAAATCGGCCATGCATTTGATATCATGCAGTACCTATAACTCGACGACCATATGGTGAACCAAATGACTTAATTCTCTATTCTATTTAACAAAATAAAAGTTACTGAGAAAATTAGTCATGTGTGTATGAAAAATGAATGCACTGTTTTCTGACGTTTTAAAACAAAAATTAATAGTGACAACATCCTAATCTAATCTCATTCATTTGAACTGATGTGAGATCGACGACAACAAATTGAGGCTTGAAAAACCACACCTATAATTCTTTCTGGAAATTGGGCTGTCAACCAAAAAAGAAATAAGAAATTCCTTCCTGCTTTCTAATGTGAAAAAACAGGTTTTCAACGTCATTTTTCATGGTGAGCCACTGATTACCTACATCCGCGTATAGGAAAGCATGGTAGGTAAAACTTCATTTATTCGTGCTTTTTCTTTTATCACTCCATCAGGTGACACGTAAAAGTAAAGAGGTATATTCATATCTTAATTTTTTTCTTTCTTGAATGATTTTGCATGCCTGAAATGCTTACCCGCGATTGTCCTGCCAACAATTATTGAATGCGGGTAAACCTTTCAACACTCACCTGGTCTTACAGTATTTAAATGTAACACCCATCAAGGTCTCAGCAAAGACCGGTAATGTAAGGCGCACGGTAATGTAAGGAATAATTTCTATTCTCCTGTCGGCGTCGTGAGAGTCCTCGCGGAGGCTCAGGTCTCGTGTCCCTCCATTAGCCGACCAGCCGGAGCGCTCTCGAGTATTCAGCTCTATAACGACATCACTTCCTCGCTGATGTATTTTTTTTGTCCCTGACTCAATGCCTAGGTTACCCTTTGCCCGGCACACACTCTAAATGGATTGACAAATAGAGCCCTCGGCCCGTAGGGACGGACACAGAGCTTGCCCAGCAATGCCCATGTCTTCGTGCGATGGGACTTGGTGACAGCCGCGAAAATTTACCCTAGTCTGGCGATATTATATGGCACCCTGAAGGCTCGTGCATCTTCCGGGACGTATTTGGCAGTAAATAGTTACTGAGCTGAAATATCGATAGATAGTTACTCTCAAACACGTGCAAGCAAGAAATGCGCTGCCGGAGGACCGCCGAGTCCCCTGTCCCAGCTGTTGTTCAAGACGATCGGTACCATCCGGATAAAATATCCTGAGTGTATTTGCGGAGCTGTTTGCACAGCCATCATGGCGTTTGCCAAGCCTTGTTTACCCGCAAAGAAGCGCCCGTCTGACCCTCTAGTAACCAGACAGATTCGGACAGAAACCAGTCGTTACCATGAACAATGCCACATAACAGGTACGGAGTACAAGCCCATACTCAATGCTCATTAAATATGCATCATTATAACAGTAATCGAAGCCGGTGCATTACAGAACAGATGTTTGAGCGGCTAATTGTGCAAGACGAGTTTTGAACTAACTTTTTGAATTTTATAACATATATTAATTGACTACATTTGTTCTGCAGAATCAATTCTTATTAATGCTATTATATGCTAAGAACACTCCCGAAGCATGGCTAATAACTCAATCGCAGAGCAGCCTTAACTCAATTTTAATATTCATTTTTCCGTGACTGGTCACTTCGCTTCAGTAGCTAAGGCGTGCCGCTCAGCTGTCGATCTGAATGGTGAAAAGTACAGTGACTTTTCTGCTAGAAAAGTTTCAGAAAGTTCGTTCGTTGAGCAATTACGGCGAGTCCCGACGTGAGCTGTCACGGGGGGGCCGGAATCGAGTCAGTTCTCTCTAAGGAATATTGAAATTGAGACTTATCAGAGCTACGGCCGCGCGAGTGTAAAGAGCCTACAAATGGAAAACGAATTGGAAACTGTAGCATGTGACAGAGCATGGCGCTCGTGTGTTGGATTGCTGAAATGCCTTTCGAATTTTTATGAAATTAATTGTACTGGAGAAATTAACTATTCGACTAGTGGAACAGAAATAAAAATTGTGTCGCGCAAATATTGCAAGAAACATTACCGTATTCTTTTATAACCTGTGCGCTCAAATGAAAGAAATGCATATATACGTATATATAATAACAAAAAAGCCATGTAAACTCCAAATTTCTTCATTGACAACGTTTCGGATGATAGCTCCATTTAAAAAAACTGAATTACTTGATGTTTTCTCTAAAATTCATGCTGAACTCAATTTAGCAGACGAATGATATAACTGCATATTAATTACAAACATATCATATAATATAAATTCACAAAAAATATCATTGTAACTTCGTATTGGCACTCAACAATTACCCCGTTTGGAGGTTTGCGACAAAATATTGCTGTAAATTTGTGTCCACTTTACCTTGAAAGTATTGATTGTATGTAGGTTTCTTGTGTCCTACATATCTGCAATAAATATTTTATCGAAAAATTTTCGTTTCCGGAGGAAATAAAATTTCGACGATAAATCCTTCAAAAACAGAGGATTCGTGCCACGCACAATAAAGAAGGGTCGAGGAGACTCCTTCACAAAGAGCTTGTGGTAGGAAGTATATCGGTGGAGTAACTTGGTTTTCCAGCCGCTGGCACTCGCTGCAAAACTTCGTAAAAAAACATTAAAAAAGGCATAAACTCCTTCAAAGTTGATAGCGCTGGCTTGAGGCAGGCATGCTGGACGGGCGTGCAAACAACGGCTCTGCAGTTTTTTATTTTCTGTAAATAATTCTTCCGAGATTGGATGCGTGCGCAGGAGTGCACATTCAGTTATAGAGACGCATTGTAAAATTAATCTTAAAATCTGAAGTCAGTTCAATAAGACTGCTATTTCTTATCATAGCTATTGCCTATTGCAACAGAACTATCGGCATCCGTTCGTCGCTACATGTGAACGAAAATCTCTATAAATAATTGCTAACTGAGAAGAAATTTCTTAACAAAGCTGAATAATTGATATGAATTATAATGAAAAATGTGAACCATTTTACAGCCATATTTTAAAAATAAGCGAAAACCAAAAATAGGAAACAATAGAAGAAGAAGAATCATTCGCGATTCAATTTTATTTTTACTGGTAATTTCACGGTTGAAATTAATAAATAAATAAATTATCAATAATGCCATTACATATAGCATTGAACGGAAGCACTTCTATACTTCTATTTTTTCCTTCGTTTATTAGAGCGATGCTCCCATAAATCAACGTCAATTTTGCTGATGCCATCACTCATTTTTAGAACAACAAAAACAGAACAACGTACGCGACCTCAATTATTGGTTTGCTCGTTAACTGCTAATGGCGTTCGTAGCGATAATTGTTCCAGGGCCTCGAGTTCTCTGTTCATAATGGATGGCGTTCCATGCTCCTTAGAGTCAGTATCCTCCTTCCCGCTGTCATCTGTTGCAGAGGGCTAGCGTCCTCAGCTACAAAAAACTATAGCTTCATTGTTGTCCGAGGAACTTAGTTTCTTCTCCATGAGGCCGACAGTCTCTGGTTTAGTGAACTGCATCGTAGTCTCTGCTCCAAGGAGGCAGAGTTAGATCTCTGCTTCACTGCTCCAGAGGGCAGCATTTCGATCAGTGCTCCCGAGGGCGCACACACATTAATCATTGATCTCAACTGGCTGGATTTATTGCCTTGGATTACTGCTGCAACGTTCGCTCAGCTGCCGCCCTCTGGCAGAACCACTGACAATGATAGTAATATTCCCTATAGAAAATACAATGATTTATGAATCGCTGACCGCAGATTAGCCGCGGTTTTTTCCTGATGGTGCGCCCAGAATTCTCACAACACAAACACATCACTGGATCCATTATCTAGATATATATTTTTTAAATTCTGTATTGGATGTTATTTCAATATTTAGTTAAGTTGAATGAAGTATATCTTATTCCCTCAAATGAAAGAGCATTTGTTTAATACGTTTGCAATGCTCAACAAGTTTGCTTTTTGTGTTCTTTTCAGTGAACTGTTTAGTGAATAGTAAAATTAAGCGCCTTACTACGAATAAATATAATTGCTACGCAAGCTATTTAGTTATTAATCAATCCGTTCTTCGCCGTGGTGATCCACGAAAAATTTCCCTGCCTCTTAATATTCGCTCAAGCATTTGTTACTCCCAGACATTTTTCAATGCGTATGTTTGTTAACTTGCACGGGAGGGATTCTGCACTCGCTTTATGTCGGAGTAGAAGAAAACCGTATCAAATAACTAAAGACGAATTAACCGACATCAATATTCGACGCAGTCGGTACACGACGAAATAATTAATAACAATATTCTTCTCAACACAGCACGACATCTCGGAATTTTTAGTCTGAACATCAGAAGTAAGAATAAGTTAAAAATATTAAAAATGAATGAGACTTTGCAACCTGGCCTCAAATCATAATGCGCCTTGCCATTAATATCTAAATATATTCTTCGCATTTAATATTTGCAATCAGTATAATGTTTTTTGTCCATTTAATTGATACAGATAAATATTGGAAACCATTCATCTGTATTTCCGTCGCTGTATACTACGTGAGAGACGTGGCTGATCCCAAATTCCTGCCTTCCAAGAACGTAATTGAAGAATCTCCGTTAATTTATATTCGAGTATTCGGCGAATCGAAATAACTTTGGCCCTGGAGAATGTCGACGACATTTGTTCAGCTCAAATTAATCATGCATCAGCGAAAGTTGATGTCAGTCTGGCTCTACGTTATCAGGCCAGTGATATGACAAATATTTTCCAATCAGCGGTGCTGTGCATTGAGACATTCGAAGAATTTACGTTGTAATTACGAGGCTGCAGAGCCGCAAGCGACCAACGCTCGATGCATTATTTTCTCTCTTATAATATATCAAATGTGGATCTGAGTCGAACACTCAGCGGCTGTAACGTGGCCACCGAATTCACGCCTATGATTTGGAGCGAAAAGCGCGGCAATCGAGGGCTGTGTCCGCGTTAGCAATGTTGGTCATTCGAGGCAATTATACAAGACAAGGCTAAGCTTCATAAATTAAAGTAACTGACATCACTCGGGACAAGCTTGCCGCAGACTTAGCCCCAATGATTCATTAAGAGCACATCTGGTGCCAGTGCTTTGGTTCTCACGTGTCCTTTGCCTTGAGTTGTCGTTATGATGTCTTAGTGATAGTAAATACGTTGATAAAGGAAACGTTCGTCAACCTGAAGACAAAAATTTTACAAATTATTTCGAGCAACATTAAAATAGCATACTAACAATTTTATATTTCCTTCATTTATATTATCGATAATATATGTCATGAATTTTGAATATATGTCATTATATGAGGTCTATGCATCTGAGAAGAACTCCGGTTGTGCTGGGCTCTATAAATAGCAGAAATATTAACAGGCTACCTCGAGATTTGGCGTCTCATGCCTT